ATCACATTCAGGCAAGACGTCGTTGGTGTAGGGATCGTCAACACTGGGATAATCGACGCTGGAGCAATGTGATGTTTTCAGATGAGTCAAGGTTCACTGTTGATTTTTTGGACAGACGTAGGAGGATGTGGCGTCGTCGAAACGAGCGCTTCCAAGACGTTAACGTCATCAGACATGATCGATTTGGGGGTGGTTCTGTTATGGTGTGGGGAGGCATCACTGTTGCTGGAAGAACGGCTTTACATGTTGTTGCAGGGCGTGTTACAGGCCAGTACTACCGGGACAATATCTTGGCAGTCCATGTTGTGCCGTTCGCACGACGTCATGGCCGCCGTTTCATCTTCCAGGATGACAACGCAAGATGTCACAGGGCCAGGATCGTTACAGGTTACCTCCAACAACAGAACATCACCACATTACCTTGGCCAGCACTGAGTCCCGACCTCTCCCCCATCGAGCATGTCTGGGACATGCTTGGACAGAGGTTACGTCAACGTCAACAACGTCCTGCCAATGTCCAAGAACTTGCTGCTGCGTTGCAACAGGAATGGGACAATCTGGACCAAAATGACCTTAGACGTCTCATTAGGAGTATGCCACGTCGGATCAATGCTTGTTTGGCAAACAGAGGGAGATTTGCCCGTTACTGACTTGGTTGTGATGCTGTGGTAACTTTGCTGTTTGACCCCGGGTATCATTTTACCCTTATAATGGTCAGTCTGTGCCTTACTTAGTCTAACGATCATTTGGAATAAATCGATGAATGTGAACTTCATTTCATTTTGTCATTTGTTTCTTCGTCAGTTTCATTAGGTGACTTTAATAACACTTAAAAATCAAATATCCCCTACTTTTTTTGAATAGTATATTATTAAATTTACATTAGCACTATTAGATGTCGATCTACGGCTGTTTTTATTAATAATTTGTTTAGTGAAGCCGAATGATAAAATCGCGTTAAGTCTACCAACTACCAAGCGTCGATCGAGATTTTGCCGTGGGTAACAAATCTCCGTAAAATCAAATAGCCCAGTGACGTGTAGTATAGATCAAATGGCTTGCTATGTGTTGAAAATTATTCGTTTAACGGCAATGTATATGAGTAATATGAAAAAACTAATGATGAGAGATTTCATTTAGATTAGATCTACTTGCGCAACACATCAACGCAAATGTCTAGCCTAGACTAGTGCAGATCACGTCAGTCAGTTCTAAATTCTACGTCGCTTGGCCTAGACTCGTGTATTCTGAGCGGACTGACACAATCATGCAGCTGGTCCAGCTAGTTTTAATAGTTAAAGCGAGAATTTCATATTTTCTAAGAAAGTCAAAACATAATTATTTCTATATCTTTTGCTCAATAGGCTGTCAACTCACTATTATAGGATCATAGGTATCATTATGACGCTTATAAAATCATTCACACCGGAAATAATAACACAATTACCACCTTTGTTTTTCTCCCCCCCCCCCCCCATGGAAAAACTATCTTCAAACGTTTGAATTTGAAGTTGAAAATGATATTTTGGCCAATTTCTCAACTGGCAGTAGTGAATTATAGGAATAATAGGATTATTCTGTAACTTAAAAATATAACTTAAAAATATGAAATTCACTCGGCACAGCTGCAGTCTGAGTCTGTGTTTTGAAATGAACGTCGCCACTTACACCGCGGTCGTCAACGAAGTCCATGCCTACCTTACCGGTAATCAAATTCGAGGGGCTTTCATATTCAACTTAATAATAATAGTCCCTGTTACTACATGATGTATGTATAGATGCGCGTGTTTTACATACATGTAAATATAGTTGGTGTCTTTGTTGTTTTATAGCCAATGATAATGCTGTAGCGTAGGTAGCCTAATGTTTTGTTTGTATACTGTCTCTAATAGCCTAATGGGGTGTTAAGATACAATATAATTTTATCTGATCTTATATTAGCCTTAGAAGAAGCAATTGACGATTTTTATATCCCTTCCACATACCCAGTTGAGAGTTAAAATAATAGAACTTACCTTCGGCACGAACCAAAAAACCAATATGGCGTCCCAGAAGCATCTTTCGCGGCAACATTAGAGTCACGTTATCAGTATCCGCGGGAAAAAAACCCGCTAGTGTTACCAGATAATTTACTGAAGAATTAACCGGAATATTTGTCAGCTTCTAGTTGTTTTACAATAAGCCTTAATTAAAATGTATTATAGCTTGTATTGTGTTATTCAATCTCGATCTACGTCGTTAACCAATACAACTGTACCCAAGATCATACGTCAATTTCTATAGATAAGCGCATTGCAATTCCTGTTTTAGGCCCGTATTATGCACTGAATTTGTGTAGCAAACGCTGCACACTACACAATATGCATTAATCACCATTTTCTGTGCTTTGTGTTATTATTTCAATTGCAAAACACCGAATGTAAAAACAGCGACATTTAGGTGCGGGAGAGGCATCTCGTTTACAGTTCATAATACATTTTGTATAATACATGACGGACGTAAACGCCTTTTCTTGCTTTCCCAACCCGTGTGCTCAGCAACATGAAAGCAGGCCAGTATTGCCTATTTATTACACCAATAACTTTAATGCATTAAAGGAAATTATGATTTCCGAAAAATTATAAAGCAAATAAATGATCGATGTCGCACACCGCCGAGTGGGACCCGACGAAATGTTTTAATCCGCAATCAATGCAGTACAAATTCGCCGTGTTCAATGACAAGAAAGTGAAAATGTTATATTATACTTAAAAGTCATCGAATTTGGGGCCCTTTATTTTACTGACAAGAAAGCAAAATATTTTCTTCCAAATAACATTCTGAAAGTTCCGCTTTCACTTTCTCTCGGGATTTTGAATGTGACTTTTTACCTAAATTGCTGCCGGGAACAGGGAATGTCAGGCAATGTCATGACCTTGACTCAGGTTACAACCCCAAAAATGACCTTGCGGGTGCGGGTCACGACTTTGACCTTGACATTTATTAGCGAAAGTCTGGGTGGTACATGAAGTTTTGGGACTTTTTCGATCCCAAGGTCAAGGGTCAGGTCAAAGGTCAAGGCCCCATTCGAAAGGTCAATGAGTTGCCTATCCATGGTCATGACCTTTGATTTGCCGCGCAGACCCGGGGCCTCACCATGTGCCCGGGAGCATCCGACTCAGTAGATATTTTGGTGACCTTGACCCTTTCAGATGACCTTGACCTACCGTGGTCATGTGGACCAAGATGACATTTTGGAAGGTCAAGGTCCAGTGGTCCTGACTTTATTAGATGGGCCTCTAGGGTTCAAAAACCAAAATACTTCCGGGGCCCCTAGCGGGTCAAGGTCACGACTTTTGGTTGCCGATTTTAAAAAATGAAGAACAAATGTTGGGTCAGTCTATCGGGTCACCAAATCCCGGGGCGATTGGAAGACATTTTTTGGGCAAATTTCCCTAGAAAGTGAAATAGCTGAGTATTACAGCGGTGTGGTCTAAGGGCAGATAACTCGCCCATCACAAATCGGATCCGACGACCTTGAGGTCGTGGCTATTTAAACTAAATTGACCCCTGGGAGTCTCGTGGTGACCTTGGTTTGACAATCAGAGGTCAAGGTTCGAACTTCTATATATGACGTTTCGATAACGTTATGACAACGTTGTGACAACGTTTTAACAACGTTGTCACAACAATCTGTATATGACGTTTTGATAACGTTGTGACAACGTTGTGACAACAACCTATGACGTTTTGATAACGTTTTGAAGACGTTGTGACAACGTTGTAACAACGCCGTGACAACAACCTGTATATGACGTTTTGATAACGTTGTGACAACGTTGTGACAACAACCTGTATATGACGTTTGAATAACGTTTTGATGACGTTGTGACAACGTTGTGACAACAACCTGTATATGACGTTTTGATAACGTTTTGAAGACGTTGTTACAACGTTGTGACAACGTTGTAACAACGTTGTAATAACGCCGTGACAACAACCTGTATATGACGTTTTGATAACGTTGTCACAACAATCTGTATATGACGTTTTGATAACGTTGTGACAACGTTGTGACAACAACCTATGACGTTTTGATAACGTTTTGAAGACGTTGTGACAACGTTGTAACAACGCCGTGACAACAACCTGTATATGACGTTTTGATAACGTTGTGACAACGTTGTGACAACAACCTGTATATGACGTTTGAATAACGTTTTGATGACGTTGTGACAACGTTGTGACAACAACCTGTATATGACGTTTTGATAACGTTTTGAAGACGTTGTTACAACGTTGTGACAACGTTGTAACAACGTTGTAATAACGCCGTGACAACAACCTGTATATGACGTTTTGATAACGTTGTGACAACAACCTGTATATGACGTTAGAATAACGTTTTAATGACGTTGTGGCAACGTTGTGACAACGATGTGACAACAACCTGTATATGACGTTTTGATAACGTTTTGATGACGTTGTGACAACGTTGTGTCAACAACCTGTATATGACGTAAATACAACGTCGAATATTGGTCGAAAACACGTTGTACAACGTCACGACCAATATTGACGTTGTCACAATGTTGTAACAACGTTGCGTGCCCGCTGGGAAGAGGGCTTATGACACACCCCTTGTCCGTAAGTAATTAACGTTTTAAACAAATTTAGATATTTCCCACTTAAACAGTATTTTGTAGGAATATTGGCTTTGCTGAGGGTATGCAACAGTTTATAAATGTATATAAAATAAAAATACTTGGTCCATTAGGGATGGAACAGGAAACTCTTGAAAGAGTAAATGTAGATTGTTGTCATTGTAGTATCTGTATAAAATGAATATTTGAACAAGCAATAGGGAAATTGTTAATACACTGATAGAACTTAACCACCACTTAGATGCTTCTTTTAGAAGGCTCATTGTGTTGCCATTTGAAAAAAAAAATTCTCTTAAAGGTCGAAAATAGTATATTTAGTGACATTAATTTCATTATCATCCTAATGATTTTTTAAAGGTGCCAGGAAATCATTTATTGTCTGCATCTGTAATGTCAGCACCAGCAGCTCTGGCTATATCTAAACTCACCTATCCTGAAACCCAGAAAACACAATCCTCTGATGATGATTATGACAAAATGGTGAAAGGGTATGTTCACTATTTATTTATGTTAGGAGATTTAACTAGCTTCTCAATTTTATGAAGAGTTGTTGCCCTTTAATGAAACCTTGATCCTCAATTGAATGTTCGGTAATTGAATTCTCTCAATCCCCAAAATATCAACAATAGAAATTTGAGTAGCAGTTTTACCCAGAGTTATTTATTTGTGTCTACAGATTCATCGCCTCTGTTACCAATAAGTTGCAAGCCTATGGATCACAAAGTTACTCAGTATTTATATGTGGAGTTATTGACCTTGACAACATTGGTTTTGTATTACTGGGTATATGAGGATAACTTTGCTATGTGTGTTTGAGTGAAGAAGTCTATATTAATCATTTTATCTTTCAAGAAAAACTTCAGACAATCTTACAAGCATGAATTAATTCTTATTTATCTGTTTAATTACAGGAAAGAAAGGAACGTGATAGAAGCTGCATCTGCAGGGGCATCGTTATCAATCCAACTTATAGCAAATATTGTTGTTAATCTCATTGCCTTTCTTGCTTTATTAGAATTTGTAAATGCTTGTTTAACATGGGCTGGTAATCGTGTTGGATGGGAAGGTATTACCTTTCAGGTATGTTATTTATTGTAATATTTATTATTCATGGTAAACTGCTTAACTGAAATTAGACAGAACAAGCAGTATGATATCTGATCTTTATATCATTCTGTTTTAATTGACATCTTGATTTTGTTTTGCATGTAGCGCAACAATTAGGAGAAAACCTGAATAGGTCAGGCTGCAGCGAGAACAATTTTACATTGTGGAATTAGAATGCTTGCTTATCATTATACATGAATAATAATAGGAAATTTGTTTTCACAAATAAATTGAGAGAACCATTAAACTCCTTTGAGGGCTTTGCCAATTTAACTTTGATATAGGTGTATTGTTAGACAACTTGTTTTTATTCTATTCTTTCAGTTTATTTGTTCCTATGTGTTGTACCCAGTTGCTTTGTTTATGGGAACAGAATTTGCTGACTGTCGCCAGGTTGCTAAATTGATTGGAATTAAAACATTTACGAATGAATTTATTGCCTATGAAGCACTGTCTGTTCATTTAAAAAATAAAGTTAACTACACAAATTATATCTCCGCTTTTCCTAATATAACAGAGACAGATTTATGGGAAGCCAGAGGTGATGACATTTTTTTAATAAACATCAATGAAACTCTGAAAGGTGGCATCATGTCTGTAAGTACTATTCCAAGAATTAAACTAAATATATATTTGACTTGAAGAAAAAACATAATCAAAATTTGCCAAAATGCTTTTTGTCACGGTATCGGAAATTGGAAGTACTGTAATTTAATGTCCCTAATAACTCTTTAATGCTAATTGTCCAAATGAATGCCAATTGAACAAAATAGTGATGTGGAAAAGAGAGACATTAAAAATTGTGATGTTACTGGCATCTCTGATAGTTCTACAATAGACTGTCTGTATACCTACATGTCGGTGGTGCGGTGCATGACGGTGGGACTGAGAAGGACAGCTGTCTAGTGATTTGGATAGTATGTAAAACCGTGGTCTTGTGTATACATTGACGTGCACATAAAAGATCCCTTGGCAGTTGGAATTCAATATAAAAGTATGCCATAGTGCTATTGCCCAAGCAAAATTTCCCTCATAGCACACTGTATGATGTATGCCGGTCTTGCTTAAACCCATATTGCTTGATCCTGAATGTCTTCTTGTACCCACCCTTATTAAACTGTTTTTGTTTTTGTAGAACATATAAACACAGTTGTTCTTATAACAAGAAACAAAATAGATCCCTGCTATCATCAAAATATTTTATTTTATCATATTGCATCTAAGATTGGTTGAGACACTTTAAGTTGTAAAGCTCTTCAAATATATTTATGAGGAAACCATTATTAAATTTTTGAAATGGAAGGGTAATACAAAGTACCGGTACCATTAGTTAATTAATGGGCCATTATTAAATCAATTAATTTTATTATCTTTCTATTGTTCAGGAAAGGTCAGAAATTATATCCACTTATTCTCTGTGTGGTTTTTCTAATATTGGTTCAATGGGAATATTATTGGGTGGATTATCTGCCCTTGCTCCAGAAAGAAGATCAGATTTATCATCTATCGTACTACGAGCTATGATAGCAGGAAATATAGCTTGTTTCCTTACAGCTTGTATTGCAGGTAAGTCTTCTTGGGGAAAAAATAATTTGCATAATTTTTCTTAATCAATTTTTTTTTTTTTTTGCAATTTGAAAAAAAAGGATTACATATAGAAATGTTTGCAAAATTGTTAACTGTAGTTCGCAAAATCTTTAATTATAAGTTCACATTTCATTTGTAATTTCCATGACTATCCACTGATGGGTCAGCAGTTTGGCAACAATAGATGGATTTGTGATGATAATCACACCCTTCCAAATACACTCGTTAAGTGTCTTGATTTATGTGAATTCATGCTTTCTGGATTATTTTGAACTCTTTATGGAAATTCATGAAACAGTCTGAGAATATTTGTTTCACTGTCACTATGCTCGTCACATTTGCTAAGCCAGAGCGAAAGTCATTAGGGAAATATTTTGTGCAAGGTGAATGTGTATTAACTGAATGTAGATAAGCTCAAATTTAAATAATTGTTGAGTGAAAGTTTTGGGTGTAGTAGGAACTGATTCTACTTTTCTAATTCGAGTAATTAACACCCACAAAGAATAATTGTTTAGCCATAGCAATAGAAAATCATTATATTATGACAGAAGCACATATAAAAAATCTGTAACCTAATCATTTTCCTGAAGTATAGGTATTGTGTTAGTTTTTTGGAATAAAGCCACCAAGATCATTTTTTTCCTCCAGTAAAATCTTTTTATTTATCATATAGCCATTGTTTAAATTGACACAGAGAAAAATTTAATAACAGTAACCACATATATGCCGAAAATTGCAACAGCAAAAGAAAGGCTGTATTTCTGCATGGTTTCCATATTATTTCACAGATTTTTATGAGATGATTTAGTTTTGAAATATCAATAAGAAATTTCATCTAATCAAAATACATTTTTTCTTTTCTTAAATAAATTTCAGGTCTGTTCTTCCAGCCAGTGGCATCTTTATAAGATCCGCTTTGGAAATTCGTTGAAAATTGTGATCAGCAATACCTGAATATGTCAAAAAGAAATATATTTGAACTAGTGCTGAATGTGAAATTAAAACAAAGCCTACCGGTATATAACAAGAAAATTAATTTCTAGGCTCATTGTCTTTCAAATTCATATTTTATTTCATTATTAAATATTTCATAAAATACATATGTACTGTACATATAAGAAACTTATTCAAGATAATTTTTAATATCCAATATTATTCTAAATGATTATAAATTGTTTTTTGAATATTTTGATTTTTGAAATATTTTTGTTTTGAAATAATTTGATATTTTAAATGTTTTTAGTATTTAACATATGGATATTGGATTTCATATTTTAGTTTAAGTATTAGATTTCTGAATGATCCGAAGATATCATTTGCTGTATCATTTTGGTATTTTTTTAGATTTTATAATAACAATGATATTTTTATATGACAGGTTAGCTGATATTTTAAAAATAGGGCGTTTTAGTTTATACATGACAAATTAAAATTTATAGTCTTACTGCTGGCAATATGTTTAATAAACAGATAAATATATGATTAGTTTATAGTTCTGATTTGCAAGGTGGTGGTGATGATAATTTTCAGTAGCCTGGGCATCGTCTCAAGACAAGTTACAATTTATGATATTGTAATACGATATGCAGTACATTGTACTACCCTGCCAAATAACTACCGCAATATCAATTTGCGAACATTGCAATAAATTCAACTAACCACAGCCTAATTTTCGTCAATGGTTTAATGTAAATCAGCTGTTTCCATGTAAATTTTATTTAAAATTTGAAAGCAAGATAATACGTGATAGCCATCACTTGACATTTTTGTCGAGGAAATCCATGTTTAAATGTGCATTACCATGGACCCTATAATACATGTTCATGTTACTTTGACTCCTGAATATTGCCTTGTAGGACAAAGCAGTCACTTAATTGACTATCATAAAATTTGAATAATTAATTCTAAAGATCTGCTCATGCATATAAATGAGGCAATGTGAAAATAAAGTTTTTTTCACTGATTATGGGTATATAAATCTCTGTTTAACAATAAGAGTGCTAATTGACTGGGACTACATATTTTATCTGTATAAATGATTATAATTATTTCAAGTGAAATCTATGTTCTTTAAACAGATTGACTGGTACATTTAGTACATCCATTATTTTTATATATAAAGATTATATGAAAAATAATATATAGAGGATATTTGACGTTTTAGAGTGAATAACATATTGTATTTCATCGAGAAGCAAGAAAACTTATATTTTCACGAATGCGTAGCATGAGTGAAAATATAAACGTTTTCTTGCTTAGAGATGAAATAAAATATGTTATTCACGACAAAACGACAAATGTTCTATTTATTTTATGATTTTACACTCATTTTAGGTAAAAACAACTAGCCAGTGGAATAACACTTTTATTTCACTGATAAAACGCGGTATTCCACTACTGATCATAAAATAAATAATTAGGTTATGTTATAAATCTGTTATATTTCATTTTTCCATATCAAGTCATTAAAGTACTTTGCTCATAAACCCTCAGTTAAACACATTCAATTGAAATTTTAAATAAATTTTTGTCTTTTTTATTAATTATATTATCTAATAAAATGTTAAATACAAAATTTGATGTTTTTCATTTAATTTGTATTTACATATCATCTCATGCATGTTTATTTGTAAATAACGTATTTTAACATACTTTTATATTATATATCAACATTTCTAATAAAGTTATTTTTTCCTAAAGTTGTTTTTTGTATGCTTTTTTTTTTGTTGAAGAGGAATAGGATAGGCTCTAGAATCTGTCCACCACTCAGATTAAATGTATTGTATGGACAGTAAACATCCAGGTTACAATTGGTGGAAAGTGTCTACTATTGCTCCCTAGAATTTATGGATGTTCACATCTAGAAATGATAAGCTATGGATGCATAGCCTGAGTACATCTGGATTTTCTGGTCTAGCTCTGTTAACTGATAAATTTTTAGTACAAGACTGAATGGACCATAGTTACATTTGTCCATTTCTTAAAGCCACCAAACCCCTCATGCACAAAACTATGGAGATGGAAGTCAAGACATAATTCTAACACTTAACCTAGTAATGTGTATAGCCAAAATGCTTACATCAAAACATGTGACTTCTTTTATCAGTACTTACATACAGTAAATTGGCTATTTACACATGTAAGATAGGTTGCCAGGCAATGAAACATATGCCCACAGCAGCTAAATCATCAGAGAAGTTGACAAGGGTTGTCACATATTTATTCTTTTGTGAGTAATAGGAGTATTTATAAGAGAGAGAAATGGGGTTTAACGTCCACTCGACACAAACTAGGTCATTTCGGGACTAACATATGGTTTAATTTTATTTCAATAATTCGCTTGCGCATAGGGGTCTTTAGTAGTGGGAGAAAACCCATGAGGAGTATTTATAAGACACTTACATAAATTTCATACAGATCGAATGTTCACAATGTTCAACAAAATGAAACAAGGGCCATAACCGAGTAGTTAACAAGCACAACACAATTTAAATGGAATACAATCACTGGTTTATACACATATAGCACAACATTTCAACAAGTATTCTCTTATCGTTATCTAAGAGAATATTTATCGAAACATCGTGCTATATGTGTATAAACCAGTGATTGTATTCCATATAAATTGTGTTGTGTTTTTTAATGTGCTCAATCACTAAATGCCACTCAAGGATTATAGTTAACAAGCATTGTCGCATATTTTTTACTGAGTAAGAGTGACAACCCATCGGTAACCCTTGCCTTTGTCTAGGTTAAGAGTTAGAAGAGTTTGATCCATAGAAAATCACATTGTTGTAAGGCCCAATTTATTTGAAGAATTAAAGTGGGGAAATTAAAGACCAACTTAAAGAGAGAGAGAAATGAGGTTTAACATCCACTCATCACAAATTAGGTCATTTCATGACTAACATATGGTTCAATGTTATTTCAATAAATCGCTTGCACATAGTAGTCTTAGCTGTGAGAGAACCCGCAGAAAACCCACGAGGATAGACAGGTGACCTAACCACGCCACTTGACTCAATGACAGACCTTACGATCTAACGCACACTTGTTGACCATTCGGCCACCAAACCCACCTTCCAACTTAAAGATCAGTCTGTTGTAGACAAGTCGTACAGTCATTTAATGCACTAATAACATGCTTGTAATAACGTGTTGTCTTGGGGTCTGTGATAGGACTGTTTTGTAACAAGATCTAAATATCCAATTTACAGATTCCTTCCCTAGGTCAATTAAAACTGTTTTATATATATATATAAATAAGCAAATATCTTTATTTACATCTTTTTATTCCTCTTTATGGTATATCTATATACACTGGAAAATGTAAAAGAATGGTTTTTTTAATATACCGAAAAAGATTACGATGTGTGATGAAAAATGTTATAAAATATATATTACATAATGAAATAATTGATATACATATTATCATCTTCAAAAGTCCAGCTTTACAAAACATTATCCCCATAAAATTAAAAACAAGCGGTTGCCATGCAAGATACACCCACACTTTGCAAGAGATGGACAGAGAACAAGCTAAAAATGTGATTTTTCGTACAGTGGCCATAATCTAGAAAATTACAGTTCGATAGGCGTAAATATCGAAAGGAGATCTGTGGTATATAAACATATCTTTTAAGTTTTATCAAAATTGAATAAAAAAATTGTGACCTCTAGAGCATCTACAACCTTGGTATTACATATTTTTTTCAAATTAAACTATTTGCATAATGGTGATATATTTGAACAGTTTTTAAAACTTTGACCTCTAGAGGGTCCACAAGCTAAAAAACTGATTTTACGTAAAATCAGGGGCCATCTTCCAGGAAGTTACAGTCCGATATGTGAACGGCCAGACAGGACAATATACATCCACATGAAAAAACAGGTGTATAAAAACATGTTTACAACAAAATACAATAGCACGGTTTGGTGTAAGGCAAGTGTCAGCCTGAGTTCCAACAATGTCATAGAAACATCCTTGTGTATAATTGATAAGGGTCTCTCTGACACAGGTGTATTCAGGCCACCCCAAGATCTGATCCGCCCTACAACATATCTTTGCTTAAAAAATAAACAATTTGATCACATCTAAACCGTAACTACCAATTCAGATTGACAGAAAAATTTTGCACACATTTTGATATTGCAGAATTTATGAAATGATCGATTCATCTACAATTTAACAAAATTCAAACTGTCTAAATTCACTCAAACTTACAGAGCTCTCAATTATTAAATGTAAATGTACAGTGGAGATCTTGGTTAATAAATGATTTGGTTCCCCCTCAATTATTATACCAAGCCTAAAAGTTCATACTGATATATTCAAGTAGCAAACTTTGAATTACATTTCTTTATCAATATTAAGCATTCAAAAATTTGCTTAATATTAAATGTCTTCATAGTGAACAGGGATATCGAAACTTTGGGAATTGATGAGTATAATAAAAACACAAATATGCAATACAAATTTTACATTTTAGAGTTAAAAAATCAAACTCTTGATATACAGAAGTGATACAAAAATTTGAATCTACAGATCAACTAAAACAAAGCTTTATTTTCATCAGATGTAAAAAATAAACAGGAGAAAAAATATCACAAAATGCAGGGAGTGTATTCCATGGTTTAATATAAGATTTATGTACACAGCACATAAAATATAACATTTTGGGCGGGGAGATAGTTCATTTATAAAATATTGAATATTTCTAACAGCTCAGTTACACAAGAAAAATCTATCTAGTGAAAAAATACTTTGAAAATAAGGTATACTAAATTTAAAGCAGAGCTCTCAAAAAGAAAATCCTTTTTTATGTATGTAGTTATTTCAAATTTATGGCATAAAAATTGCAACTGGAAGTTTTCTCAGCAGATATTCACCTAATAATTTAATTGTGTATTCCTACGTTGTAATTCTACTTAATTATAATTGTTTGTACTGAAAGAAAAATTCAACATTTCCTCCAAAACTTTTCCCATTTTCTATTAAAGGATCTGATATCATATAGTCAACTATATATATATACAACTGCTTGGGGAAATATATTACAGATCTGTGGTATGGTATATTATTTACATAAATTCTTTAATTACAATTTATTATTATTAATTATATCTGTATATAGATATCGTATTCTTAAAAACTTAAACTTCATGAAAACTATCAATAAGAATGAAGGACAATTTCAAAATGTTACAAAGAATGACAATGAATTTATGGCATTAGCATGCTTTTTTTTTTTTAAATCATTCAGTTCTTCAGTAATTATCTGAACTTCAGAGTTAGAATCAAATGTTTTCAATCCTTTTATTTCAATTGACCTTCCAAAATTTGATTTTTAAATTTTTTCAAAACAAATTTAGGATTTCAATTGTTAGTTCATTTTAAAGAATAACCCTCAGCCCTCAGGGTTTACAAATAAACAATTAAATAGATACATAGCAATATAAACAGATTTCAATTATTATGTTCACTTGTATATATGTACAAATAATCAGAATAAAACTTAATACAGGTAGGCATCGGAAAATTTCTAGGATATTTGTTAAAGCACTTGAAAACACTGCTGATGTGTTGACACCTGTGACCTCTTGGTTATTAAATGTCACAAATAATTTATAAAAATAGTAAGAATAGCACCTTTTAAGAGTAGAAAAAAAGTTTCTAATATTGCAATGTGACACATTAATCTCAGCCTTAAAATAATCCAGTTGGCTGTTTCAATTGTCTCTGTTTCCATGACGGCAATGCATAATATTCTTCTTTTGACATATGTAATAAACTCTGAAAAATATACAAAATAATATCAAGATATTTCATTATAACAAACAGGACTTCAACAGCAAAAAAGATTCCTGAAGACTAAAGGGAGATAATCTAAAATGCTGAAGACTAAAGGGAAGCAATTTGCTACTCATGGTACATTAACTTGTGCTTAGCATTTTCATAACACTTGATAGCACTTCTAATTGTCAGTATGGTTTATTTAGTTAATAAAAATTATCTAACACAGCCTTCCACTTTTTAAAATGCCACCATCGGATTTAATTTTTCACATTAAAAAATGTATTTTATACTTCGGCACTGGACGATGATTAAACACCAACCCACCTGAAATTCCTCCTCATCAAGATAAGATTCCAGTTTAGATGCATCTACACCTTCTGGTAATGGTCGTTCTTGCAGTTCTGCAAATGTATACTGTGTTCTCTTTAACTTAGCTAAAATGTCTTCAGCAGATTCTAAATAACCTTCTCTTTTACCATCCTGTTTATAAATAACCAAATATGCAACCATGTATTTATATTATTACAATCGTTATTAAAGCACAATTACATATACTACTGACTTTGGTTAGGAGACGATATCTGTGAGCTGAGAAAAACCTTCGGGATTACTTGAAAGTATCCCAATGCCAAGTAAAGTATGTGCAGTCATTCACAAGTGCGAGAAAACTAAGGAGAAATACATGGTGACACCACTCTCCTTATATTATATTTCACATGCCATGTAACCATATTGAATAAAACTATGGTGTCAGTCTCAAAATGACTAAGTATTGTATGATAAGAAGTTAAACCCTGTTCTATAATCACTGGACTGTAAAACTTTTGAATTAGGATAAAAAAAAGAAACTATTGTAGGAGAAATTACTTCATACCTTAATATTCAGTTCTTTAGCCTGTTCATCAACGACCCAATAAGGAAATATATTAATAAACTGTTGAGGTTCGACACCACCATATACTATATACATCTTAGGCATACGTTTTCTACTTTCTGTTGATAAAATATAAATAAATAGTACAAATCTACAATCTACACCGATAACCAAATGTCACCTAAATACAAACAGTTTAAATTTCCATATACATCTATTCACCATACCAGTTTTTTATTCAATAGTTTCTAAATGTGTCTTGGTATAGTTTCTTTTTATATTCAATACAACATACTGTCCTTTTCATTTACCCCATGTAAACACTCTAGGTGTTACAGTATTAATACAAGTAAACATTCTTACATTTAGTTACAGTCTAGGTAAAGGAATCTGCTCAATAAAAAGCAATGATTTATCAATGGTAAATATTCCAAGAGAAAATCAATTTCATCTTTTAGTCCTGTATATTTCATTCTTAAGACAGTTGCAACTAACAATGTCATTCTTTTGTTATTGTACTTGAAGCATGCATCTCTATTTACCTCTACAGTAATTCACCATAGTTTCTAGAGCACACTTTCTGTCTATATTAAATCTAGCTATAGCTGATCCTGTGTGCATATTTTCTTCTTCTTCTTTACCCTCTGGCCACCAACCATGCCATAAATATACCTCACGATGATTATCAACTAGGAATAAAGCTGAAAATATAGAACATATAATATAAATACAACGCAGTGTTCATAAATACATATTCTTCTAAAAGGAATATTATAATAGTTCAATCTTGTTCAGAATTTAGAAAGAATATTGTAACATTTGACAATCTCTGCAGATGATATATTCCCATTGAATCAATCCGGGAGATTAACTACCACACATATTTTGGTTTTGTTGTCTTTGGTAATTGTTAAATAATCGATTGTGGGATGACTTTCAGCTGCGTAAAATTAGATTTTGTCCAAAAATGATGATGAGAGGCTTTAGCAAATAATTTTAATATCAAATTTCCATTTAAAAATTGGATTAGTTAAAAAATTAAGAATAATAAATATGAACATACCTGGTTGTGAAACTTTATAGAGATCAGATTGTAAAAATGGGAATGGTGTATAAAGATCTTCACAACGCGCTGGATTTAATAATTCTATCACTTCAAATACACCTGATACACTAGTCATATGGAATAAACGTACAGTATGTTCTAATGATCGAGGCTCTGAAAAATATAACCAATATTATATATGATACAATAAAATATCACATCTGTTACATAGTATTCTTACTTTTTCTCAAACACTTGATAACATTTCTCTAATGTGTATTCTGAACCAAATTTGCCTATTGTTACCCCAAAACTGGATCTGAAATCTAATCAAAATGATTTAAAGTAATGTGTAACGAAAAACTGAATTCTTTAATCCAAATCACTGAAGATTATTGTATTCCTTTCAATGGAATAGCTCTTTCATTTATATATGGTTGCTGCAGCATACATGTACATTATTTTACAGAACATAAATACATATCAAAATGAATACAACTGGCAATTAATGCAATGATTTCATGACTCTGTTAAATTGTTTCTAGAAAGAATTTACTTACCATTTAATAAGGACATATATAATGATCTATCACGACTTTCTAATGCTCCCCAGATCTGTGATTTCTCCTCTCCTTCTTCCATCTCAGTAATCAAAATACTAGCATCTTTATGTAAACCAACTTCTAATGGACAACTATAAATATAGTTTAGTATAAAATAAGTAAATATCGTTCTAGATATTTAAATAATGTATTAAAGTATTCAAACATAGGTATTCAAGACTAGAGGAAGATTATAAAACAATCTTATTTTGGATATTTATTCACTCATTTTGATAGAGCAGTAGAACTTAAATTACAAGAATTGATCTTTTATTAAAACTAATTAAATCATACTACAGAAATAAGAGTCTTGAACATTTTGAATTGATAGAATTACAATGAATTGTGCTCTGTCCCAATAACAAATGTTGTGCGAGTAAAATTGAGGTGTAATCAATTGTTTCATCTAAAGGGAATGGGTCCAGATATTACTGTATTCAGTTGGTGCAGGCCATATGTTTATTTAACCGTGGCCCATATTCTTGCATTTACTCAACTGACAATAAGACAATTCTATTCAAGAAGTAGTACATACATACTTGTACCATATATTATGGGGTATAAAAGCTGATTAATGCTACTTAGTATATGTTGTTGTCCAGATTATAGATTATTTTGGGCCCTTTTCCAGGAAAACATTCAATTTCTGAAAATTAATATCTCATCCTCACATTTCAGTATTTTATAAATGAAAGAATTTTATATCTAAAATAAACTTACTTGTCTTTAAGTTTATCAGCAACAATACGTGCATTTTTTCTAGTATAGTCTGGTGATTTACAACCATGCCATATATACAAATGTCCAGTTTTCACATTTAACAATATTAATGATGAACGACTACGTAAATTATCAACACACAACTTAATTTCCACAACACAGAGTTCATTTTCTAATTCATTACGAACACAGTATAATCTCCATGGACCTTGCGTATTTGATTCTTCTTCTTCACGTTTACCTATATGTACAATCATACTTCCATGGAATAGGTTTAAAAAACATGGTGGTTCTTTTCCTTGAATAACACGTATCTAAAACATAGAATTATAGGGAAATGGTATCAAATATTACCTCTTACAAACAAAAATATAATCAAACTGAAGTAAGACAATTCCATTTAAAATTACATCGGTGGGCGGAAATGCCATTTGTCATAGATGCCCTGCAAACACTCTAAAATGCGTATTAGCCCCTCTACCAATCGTATTCTTTTCTAATATAATAGAACACTGACAATCTACAGATATAACAAACAATCTTAACTAGCAGTCACAATACCAGTGGATTAATTGAGCACAATGAGAGGTTTCACTATCAGGCGTTCCAAAAAGGGTAACATATCCTGCCTTGTACACTACACCTGCTATTACTATGATACTCTTGCCTTAATCAGATGATGAACCAGTAAATAAAACCAACATTATCAATTACCTGGGGACCTCTTTCTTCATCCAACTCAACTGTCATTAAAGCTGAAGCTCCTTTCTCATTAATCGTAGATTCTTTACCCTGCCAGAAAAAATATGCATATCTTTCTCTTCCTGTTATAGATTTACGAGCTGCCTGGCCTTTTAATGATTTTAAACCTGAAATCAGATGTTATATTTAGTAATAAGTTTTAACAAGGGCTATAAAATATATATAATAATAAAAATTTGATAGCTCTCAAACAAAGAATATGTTTGAGACTTTATTACAAGGGGCAGGAATGGGGGTTCTACATCTCGTCAATGATGTAATTTGCTCAGTTTGCTATCTGTTTTTGAAATCGTTTGTTGTTTTCTTTCTCATTTCATATTTTGAATTTAATAGCCTGGAACATGGCCTATCAACCAAGTCTTCTTCAAATTACAAATACTAAGAGATCTTCCAAATAGTCAAACTTTCCTTGTTAGTCTCCATTTCTCTATACTGGTAGATCTTGACAAAATCTCCTGTAAGTTATCGTGCAAACAGCCAGTTATTAAATACTGAATTCATTCTTATTGGACAGGACCAATATTTATTTAGGACTGGAGTGATCCAGGTTATTTCCTGGTTAATTCATTAAGTATGATCCCGGTCAAGAAGGAACCGACCTTCAATATGATATTGATTGATAGTTTTGTTACTTACATATGAAATAAAATACCTTACCAGCATTTGAGATCATATACTGCCACCTAACAACATAGGTATCACCATCATGAAACTGTCCATAACTTGTTTCATCTAATTTATAATGATCATATTCCATAACATGCCACATATCAACACCTAAAGTTACTATCTCAAATTCTCTCATAAAACCCTGCATATCTTCTAACCTAATAATCAAAACAAAATGTTAACACAATTATCTCAATCACAAATACAAAATGACCAGGGCCCTCATAAGCCCAGGACAAAAGTTTCAGTGACACATCCTGTTGTAAAAGTCAAAAGGTCTACCGTCTCCAAGGAGTTTAAAGTTAATAACTATATCTTACCATTTAGTTCCTCTACCAACATGAGAACCTTCTAGAACTAATGTAACAGGTGATTTATTTATAGGTACCATTTTATCAACATCAAATGCTTGTAATTCTGCTACTTCTACTTTCTATAATAGTCAAATATAAATTATAATAATTAACCATAAGTTTATTAACATCAATCATACACTAAAATTGAAAGAAACATTGGTTGGCATGCAACAAAACACCTCCTCAAAATTTCAAATAACTCAGATCATAATTAAAACTTCTAAGATTTTGTAACAAAAGGGAATAAATAAAAACTAAAATTGCACTACAGCCATACTTTAGTCATGACTGCTTATTGCAGGAAAATTGCAAACAAATTGTTTAGATCTTCTTTTTGAGTGTTGCAGTCCTCTCTAGCTCCACCTACTCCATGACATAAAAGTTAATCATTGAGACATCCATTTCATTCACCCTGGTCAATCAGGTTTTTATGATAATTTGAGTACTTTGCTATCTCACCTTTTCTGTCTTTTCATCATCTTGACCTTTAACCTTAATTATTCTGGCATTATCTGGCCAATCAACAAACTTCTCTTTAAATAATAACGTTTCCATCCCTTGATGTACTTTACCAAATAATGCCCAATCGGGACGAGTATTACTTTTGATGGGAACGGATCCTGTGTCTTCAGCTAAATAAATAAATATTAACAAATAAGGTACATATTTCAAAGTCAACTAAACACTTTAAAGGAGCTCTAACACTTTGAATTTGGACAAAATAATGAACTGCTGGCTTATTTCGATTACAGATGAGATATCAGTTTTATACCATTCAAAAACTAATCGGATTTGATTTGTTTATTAACTTTTGTTTCGTTTTTGGTTTAAAATGTGGACCACAAGATCAGTATAACTACTTCCTATATGAAATCAAAACATCATATTTAATTAAATTGACAATTATAAGCGTCCTATCATTTAACATGGTACTAGGTTTTTGGGGCGGTAGAATTCAAATTATAGTGCTGCAGCCACCTTCAATTTACTTGCAATCAATAGTACAATTAAAACTCACTATGTAACGGAGATAAAGGATTTATATCACATGGTGTATAATCATATCCTCTATCCCATAATTCTTGACACAGCAGACGGCCAATCTTACGATCTTCAGGTGATACTTTTTTACCCAACCATAAATATAACTCAGCCCCAAAATCAAATGCTAATGTCTGAAAAAGACAGTAAGAAGGTATAAAGCTAAGTCAAAGAAAATTCAAACAAATTTCTTTTTCATGTGCATGTTAAGAAAACATCACTAATTTATTGTTATACAATTTTGCAACATTTCCTTCCATTTTCCTAAAAATATTAAAATTATGCAACAAATTATCCATCTATAATAATGATAAGTTCATTAGTGTTAGCCATTATCTTATTACCATTTGACAACTTAAAACGTTTGAAACACTTAACGAGTTGTAAAGTTTAAATGATAGATTAACAAAGTACCAAGAACTGTTGCATTTATTCATTACAGATGTAAATATTGTACCAGACATAACAAATGTAAAAACTTTTAAATGGTCAGTTTTATAATAGCGACATTTAGGTACTGGGCATGTTATTTATTATTAACAATCTACCAAATATGCAAGAAGAACAGGCAGTGTGTTTACTAATTTCACAATACATGACTCGTGGTAGACAGCTTTAGTTTGAGATCAACAAGATAACTTTTTTTTCCTGTGGTTATGCAGAATGAAAAGGGAGGGGGGGTAGCCAAGACAGCAGAAATTCTGATACTCTACATTGTTTTCCAAAGTTTCCTTCACATTATGCACCATCAATTTGTACACACGACTTCATTAGATTTGAAGAAGACACACTTTCTGCAAGAGCATTTAGAAGGACATTAAAAAAAAACTCAACAACTTACAATTTCTGGGTCTAACATACTATATTTTAAGGCAGCACCCCAATATTCCTGATATGGCTTTAGAGAATTATCTTCTAGTTTAAACACCATATTGGTTTTATTTATACATGTCTCATATATCTCATCTTCTTCTTCAGGTCCTACAGCTATAATAAACATAATAAAATACATAGCTTAACATGTAGCAATTATGATTTCAATGTACAATGGGGGGGGGGGGGAATAAGCCTAGACAAAAGGGTTTTCACTTATAATTATTGTGACCCTTCTTTTCATTTTTTTTTTTGGTGAAAGTACATTTAATGGCGTCTTTAAATATTAACTGATATTAAGAAGATTGATGAATACTATATGTATCTGATAATCTTGTTAAATAAAAGTAAATAATAATATGTAGTTTTAACAGCATGTAGTCTGTACCCACGGTGTTCTATTCTAACATATGGTGATACCAGTGGAGAGTAATGATTAAATGAAACATACCTTGATATTCTTGTTGACCACCAAGAGATGCCCAGAAATGTTTTCCTGCTCCAAGGCGTTGTTTTTCTTCCTCTACTGTCGCTGAGACGGTTGTACTTCTACACCCCATATCTCTCTTCTGATGTATATAATTTGTTATGTCTGCTGACTGCAAAATATTAAATTTGATATTTAAATAAATAATAACTTTGGTTATTTATTCAGTCTAACATTTAGAAATGATTGAGTTTTTCTTTTCTTCAAAGATAAAGGTAAGACTTATATGAATGGATGGATCTACTTTTTAATTTATCTAATAGATATCAACAAATTTTTCATTTGAATAACCATATAATTAGCCAATGAAACCGAATCAAATTGTCACAGCTTATGTCTAATATAAAGATACTATTCTATGAGATTGACATAAATAAAGCATGACTTCACAAAAAGTGATGTGTTTGGCCATTCATTCATTATTTTGCTAGGCCAAACTTAGAACTGAAATATGAGTTTATTTTTCATTCTTTTTTCTTAGTTATGATCATATTTCATCTTCCTCAAAATTAATAAATTTGTTTGTTCTTTTTAGTACTGGGAAAAGGGTATTGGTATGGAGTTGAAAACATTAAATAAACAGCATTAAAAAAAAAATCACAAGTTTTATTCACTAAAAAAATAAATATTATCAATTTGAAACAATACCCTAATCAACAAAATTTTAGACTAGGTTAACGAAAATCCTAGCACTGACCTACTTACATAAATTTGTTTTCCACAAGCATTCCATAAACTCCTTCAAAACCACTAAAAAAAAACCTGTACAACTTATAAATTGAAAGCTAAAAAGTCTAAATCTAAGTATTTCTAATCATATCAAATTACCTTAGCTTTTTCAATAACGTTACTAAATGATCCAATCCAGTTGATGATTTTTTCTGGGGTAATAAGAACATAACAATCTCCACTATTAATAGATACAGATGATGGTTGTACAAGACGAGTCTGAACATTTCTTCTTCCTGCAATTAAAAATCAGTAAATGCAGTATTATTGTTTAATCTGAGTTTTCCTACTGGAAAAGCATTTAGGGTACAATGTTTAATTATAAAAGTTCACTCTCTTAGTGGAAGAGAAAAATATAACGATAAAACAGTGGTGCAATCATATTAAAGTTTGCTCTATATAGAACACCCCATACCACTCTCACAATATATTTGACTAATTAACAGTTTACTACATTGCTTGGCTGATCATAATGACTAAAAGTTTAATAAAATGCTAAATTGACTAACAATATAATAATTGGTCAAGAAAGTTCCTCTGGATTTTCTGGTGTATTTTCCGATTGTCAGTGGTTCAAGACGGAGGGCCTGGAAAGCACAGTGTCTATTCGTTTGGACAGGACATAAAAATGGTCCCCTGTACACTTTGGTGTGCATGTAAAAGAACCCATGACAGTTGGAATTTGAAATAAGAGTAGGCCGTAATGCTGCTGTACGAGCAAAATATCCTTCATAGCACACTGAATGGCGTATACCCGTCTTCATTAGCCCCGTCGTTGTAAAAAGTAGGACGTTAAACCCCATTTTATTTCAATTTTTTGGCCTACCATTTTGCCACAGTTGAATTTAAATTAACATACCTTTTACATGTAATAACATAATATCTTTATATGGTTCTAATCTATCTTTACTGCCTGGTGTAGAAGTTACATCCATTTTACGTAAAGCTACCTTCGAAAAATTTTCTTTACTTGCTAATCCTGCCAGTGCTTCTTGAGCAAAACCAGTATTATCTTTGGCAACTAGTGAAAAAAAGAAGAGAATTTATACAAATTATTATCTCAATCTAATGACTAATTCGAAATTTGATTAATTACACAGTGACATCATTATAATATGGGTTGTTATAAAGTGGGTTTCAGTATAACAACAGTGTCAGCATGGCCACTGGCTCTAAACAGCATTGTGTGTCGTACATGATAAAGGGTCTGGCTATAACCTGGACATAGGCAACATACTTCACAATCAGAATTATCATGAAGTGTTAGTTTTCTTTAAATGACAACATTTTGACATGTTACATGCGATGACTTACATTAGAAGAAAAGGTTGTTAAAAAATGTTTGCTTACTTTTTTCAACTTTGACACGTTTTAATTCCAGTTCTGCTAGACCTGTAGTAACTTCTGTATACTCTGTTTTAATCTCCACAGACATATTTTTAAGGGGGTTAGCTGTTCTTGCTGCTTGTTTTCTCACTGGACGGATTTTTTTCACGGATGGAAGTCTGAAATTATTAACAAATAAATGAAATAATTAAAATATAGATCTATATTTCGTTTCGTTTTTTATACTTTCGATGGCCTACACTACATGTAGATCTAACCGACCCGATTACGTCAGTCATACGATTAACCAATTAGCGACCGCCATGTATTTTTGATCTACTTTTGCTTTGTTTTGATTTCTATTGCCGCTAATGTCTACCCACAGTTCCGCGCAAAAAAGGTCAAACGCTTGATTCGACAGACCATTTGATTGGCTGACCCCTCATTTCAAGCAGAACACAAGTTAAATAACAACGCTTCCAGATCCAAGTGTAGTAAAGACAAGTAAAATCGAAATTTTGAACTATAAAAACGAAACGAAATTGGATCTGTGTTTTAATCAGATTGGAATAAATGTATCTTTATTCAGTTTCTAATGAAAACAAAGCACAATTCTAAAAAAAAAAATTCTTTGAGAATATTGTAAAGATGGGTTAAGATAAATCCTGACAATCTTGTCACGACCTTGGGCCTGAGAGACACAACTCGCCGAATATGGGTAGTTCACCACACAAGCACTCATATTAACCAAAGTTCAGGTTTCATACCAGTTTGGTTCACTTATTTAATGCTAGTATCAGCTCTGCATGATTGCTTGAAATTTAAATTTTCTTAGCCTATCAGTTGGGGTTCAGTGACTTCAATGGTCAATCATGATAATCAAGTCTTATTGTGACCTTGACAGAAATAGAAAGATAAATGAGGTTTAACGTCCACTCGACACAAACTAGGTTTTTTCGGGGAATAATACATGGTTCAATTTTATTTCAATACTTCGCTTGAGTGTAGGGGCCTTTAGCAGTAGGAGGAAACCGGGGAACCTGGAGAAACCCCTACTCATTGTCCCAGTCAAGCGGGGAATCAAAACCACGCCTCTATACTCCAAGACAGACCTTGTGATTTCTCACACACACATTAAACCGCTAGTCCACCCAACCCGCCTTGACAGAAATATCAAATAATGTTGATAAACCTAAAATGAATGATAATACTAATCAATTGTATCTACTCACATATCATTAGAATTTATGAATATATCATTAAAATCATCTATATCTAAATCTATTCTTTCTTCATTTTCATCGGGTAAATTAAAGAAGGCGTCCACATCAGCAGAACTAAATTGAGGTATTTCTACAGTGACAGATTCTATTTTGCGTGATGATGCTGTCTCATGTATTTCTGTGACTGTTTTAACTTTGGTTACAGATGTTGATGAGGCTAGAAAATATTGAATACAGATAAATAAATAAATTGTTATCTGGATGAAAAATTGCTACGTACACAAGTGTTGCGCTCGGTGGAATGATCCCCAGCTAGCCAAATCATTTACAGTGTTCTTCAAAGAGTAAGCACACACTGTCTTGTGCATGGCACATATAGCATGATGCCGTACCAGTGAAATATAAATATTATAATTACCATGAGTGATGATATCTTTAGGAAGTGGTATTCTTTCATGCGTTGGTGTTGTCACAGGAGATTCATTTGGAGAATTTTCTTTTGAACCTAAATCTATAAAAGATATAGCCATGACAGAATAAAAACATGTTTGAAAGCATTTCAAAAAGGTTATAAAATGAACAGTTTATTATTAAAGCCCCCATATGCCAGATGACCACTGGCCATTATTCTTATCTAAAAACATGTGTGATTGATTCAAACTGTAAAAGAAGAAACTAAGAAATAACTTACCTAAACTCATTCCATTTCTTTTATTTTTTAATCTTGAAACGAGGGGACTGGCAACTGTTCCAGCTGAAAAATGTATTTTTCACCAAAGTGAACAAGACAGAACACAAAAATAACTAGACAATTTATCATTTTGGAATAATTTGTCATTTTAATTTTGCAACTTTGCGCTCAGTGATGGAATTCATTATTTTAGTTTATGCACATTAGCTATAGATAGTTGAATAGCAAATTTCTGTTACATTTACCTGTTTGACTTATTTTTCCTGCAACTGTAAACTTGGATGTGTCTTTTTCCTCGACTCTTTCTTTCCATGTTGTTTTATTCACATCCAAAAGATTGAGTCGATCAGCTAGACTCACAGGTCGACTCTCGATTAATAACCCTTTCTTCTCGCGTAACTTAATCTCTTGTGGACTTTCGAAATCAAGAGATTTAGGGACCCGCTTCTTCCATTCTTCTTCTCCACTTTTTTTCAAAGCACTTAATCTAAAAAAAGAAAAAAATGCAGGAAATTAATTTTGTAAAAAGAATGGTTAGACAAATTCTAATTATTAATATGGAAACATATAAGTTTTCACAAAACATCTTGTTACCCATATAAAAAGTAAACAAAGAATAAACTGGTAGAATCATTTAGGTAATATTCTTGAAACCCTGTACTAAATCATTCTTCTATATTACATGCAGTAAAAAGACAGAAAGAAAAAAACTAGCAAAAAAAAACTGTTGACCGAGAAAATCTGAATTTATTACCAATAGAAATGTGTGGCAATTTTGGTATATATCTAGAAAGTAGAGACATCCAATCCTGCAAGAAAATACTGGATTCCCTAGAAAAAAATCCATGGGGCATGCACAGTCAGTCTCCTCAGGTGATCTAAGGAGCGCTTTCATATTTATGGTAAATGGACAGCGACTAACGTCAAATACAAGCTAAAAATGGATTCTCACTCAAGTCACATGATAAGCCAGGCTGATAAAAATAGATTCTTGTGGCATGGATAGGTTTCTTCCTATTAAAAAGGGATTTGAAGCAAAATTTTGATAAATACATTAGTTTGCAGTAAAAATATCGGTATATCATCAATTCAGACAGTTTGTACAAAGGAAGGTATTATTAAGATGATAACACTGGCTTAATAAAATTCCATTTGGTTAACTAAAGATATCAAAGATGGGTTGCCAGGCAATGAAATATACGTCCACAGCAGCTAAATCATCCGAGAAGTCGACAAGGGTTCTCGCATATAAATTATGCTTTTGTAAGTATGCTTTTGTATGACATTGACATAAATTTCATACTGGTCGAATGTTCACACTGTTCAACAAAGTGAAACAAGAGCCATAACTGTAGAAGTTATTAACAGAAAATGCTTAAATTCAACAGGTTTCTTCAATAATCTCAATAATGCATATAAATTTCATACAAATCAGATGATCACTTTTGTCGAGAGAGTTCACAAGGTTCACCAAAGTGAAACATTGACCATAACTCTAAAAGTAATAACCGGAAACTGTTGAAATTCAATAGATTTTTTGATTTAGTGATCTAAATAATGCATATAAATGTCATACATATTGGATGATAACTTGTGTTGATAGAACATTCACAAAGTTCAACAAAGCATGGGCCATAACTCTAGAAGTAATAACAGGAATTGTTGAAATTACTAATTCAAATAATGGATGTAAATTTATTACAGATCAGATGACAACTTTTGTAGTTTGAGTGTTCTCTAGGTTCAACAAAGTGAAACAAAGGTCATAAATCTAGAAGTTGTAAAGGAAAATTGCTGAAATTCAATAGGCTTCTTTGCTTAACTAGTTTAAATAATAAATTTAAATTTAATATATATCAGGTGATAACTTTAGTCGTTAGAGTGTTCACAATCTTCAATAAAATGAAACAAGGACCATAACTCTAGAAGTAATTAACAAAAATTGGTGAAATTAAATAGGCTTTTTCGTCTCACTGATGTAAACAATATATACATTTTAAACTTATCAGATAATAGATGCAGTCCGTAGATTGTTCACAAGAAATTGTAGACGATGCACAGACATAGGCAAGGCAATACAGAACCACATTTCCCCACCCCCTTCAATTTAATTCTGACTCTTGGATTCCTTACTAATCATTTATAAATCTAAGCAAGTGCTCCATGATATTATGTCTAAACATGTTCTATGACTTTCCACTCGATGATCAAGAATTAAGTTCTTCATGAGTGGTTTCTCATGAGAATATAGTTGACTGATTCCATTCTATGCAATTAGTAAATTATTACTGAAATATATAGAAAACTTCTTTATTTACCTGTCTGCCACCGAGCCTCCCTTCATTGTTACTGGTGTAGTTTCTTCTGCTTCTTTAAATTCATCGGGTGTAACTGGCTGCGTCATGTGTCGACCCTCATACTTAATTCTCCTCTTACTCTGAGGAGATTTCTCTGGGGTTACTAATTCAGCAGGCTGAGTTAGATATCTGAAAATAGAAAAGTTTAGCACATGTAATAGTGACATCAACATCTAACTAAAAGTTGTGTACACAAAATAATGACATCATAATCATCAAATATAAACTGCATCCATGTATATGACTGACAATAAATTCTATGAATAACAATTATGTCATTAAAAACATTCATCATTGAATCATTTCATAAGATTCAAACTGGTACAGTATGTTTGTTAAATTTAAATTTTCAAAAATAAAAAGCAACAAAATTCAAAACTAAACAAACACTTCAACAATATCATGTGACAATTCAAGCTATCTCTTTTGATCAGGAAATGTAAAGAAGATAATAAATTTGAAGAGCTTCAAACCTGATCAAAATGCTAAAATGGTTGAAGTATCTTGGTATAAAATAATATACAGTGGCTAACATTACACCAAAGATCAAGAATTGTATAAATGCAGAGATCATATTGTTTCACAAGTTACACAGAATAAAAGAAAACCAGTTCATTTCATCTCTCCTTCCATGCAAGATCAAAGTAAACCAGTTGTTATCGAGACAGGAAGGTGCCAAAATGAACAATATGGCCACACAGAAATGCTATAATACCCATATAATATGATTATGTACGTAGGTATAGATTGCTTAATTAATTAAAGTACAAGACATATGAGGAAATAAACTATGATCTGGCATGCTGCAAGTGTTGTGGTATATCCTAATCATTACTTTTCACATTCAATTCTCCTTACATTCAGTCAACTCAATCAACAGAATTCAACCAGACCCCAACAAGCAATATTTACAATTACAGAGATACATGGAATCACCAGTCAAAAGACCTATCTACAGAGACAGATGGGGTCCTTTTTCTAATGTATTATCAAAGCATAAACTGCTGACTCTAAGAATACGACATGAAAAAGAAAATACAAATAAACTGGAAACATGAAATCGACAGTCAAAAGACATTTCTGCAGACGCAGATGGTGTCCTTTTTTTTCAACTTTTATCAAAATAAAAGTTGAATAATAGAAATTTTCGGACTACTAATACTAATATAAAACCTTAATGTTATGGTCGTCTTTGTTGAGGAATGATTCTGCAGGAGTTGATTAAACATCACAGAAGGAATGGTACCAGATTCTTCCATTATAACATTACAAATATCAATATGCACGTAGAATTAGAAATTATTCTTATATCACTAATCATAAAGATTCCTTTTAATACAATAAATTATCCAAATTAATACAAAACATAATCTTCAAATTGCAATCACAGAAGTTTGCTGTTTCTACACCTTTTTGAAATTCTTAACACTAAAAAAATGAACATAATGTGCAAAATATTCAACTTATGACACTTTCTTTGATAGAAATCACAACTTGTCCTGGCAGTTGCAACCACTGTCTGGCAGTAACAGTCCCAACAGAAGCACCATGTGGTGACTAATTCTAGTAATGCTGGACTACAACATTATAATTAACCATTGGCCATCATCCAATTTAATCTCAGACTATCCTAAACAATGGTGACCAGTGAACCATGACATGACCTTTTTTGACCTGGAACCAGCAGGTCATCATTATGTCTGACCACTGGCTACTTAAAGCTAACAGTAGTATTGGACAGGTTGTCTCCAATACCACCCTGGGTGGAAGTTTACAGATCAATGGAATTAAAAGATTTTAGTGAAGATTAGAGGCAGCGGGGCTGGCTTTTGACAATGTCCTGTTTATAATCTACCATTGATATTTTGGTTCAGTATTCTTAATTAAATAATCAATCTGAGTACATTTTTAGCATAGCCAAGAAAAATTAAATATTGTCCAAAGAAAATAATCCATTCTTAATATTTCTGTGTTTTAAGCAACCTGACATTAGTATGCAACAACTCTTGGAATTTCACCAATACCCCAAGTGGCTATTGAATGATACCAGATGGTACTGTATGTTGGTAATTATAATTCCGAGCAATGTCTCTTATTTACAAAATCTCTACTCAGAAGTAGACAATCACCCCAAGTGTATACATAAGTACATATATAATTCATAAATATCTTTGACCATTGTCTTCTACCAGAAAGTTCTAGTGCATTGTTCCATATGAATGGTGTCGAGGTCATGAACTATGTATTAGACCACAATCAAGTACATAAAATAAACAACTTAATTAGTCATACAGGAACACCCATATTCAGTATATTACATATAAAACATGTAGAACAATAATTTTATAATTCAAAACTAATCTGGGTTATATTATTATACCTTCTCATTTGAGGAACTCATAAAATTAAATATGTATTATGTAAGATTTAGATGACAGTTCTCTCTATAAAAGTTTAAAAATAGATAGATAATGAAAACGGAATATATTGAAAATTTCAGTCAAATTACTTTAATCTAAGCAAAGTTATCAGTGTTTGAAGCTTTTATAAGAATAGCGCAGTCTCGATTTTCATTGCAACCATTGTTACGATAATAAACAAAGTCCTGATTATTCATTTTTAAATTATTAAATGGCAATCATGTTTTAATCCACTAAAAATCATGGCCATCCAATGTTCTAGATGGTTGATTATTGACTAGTCTAATGTCTAATTAATAATTTATATAACATTTGAAGCCAAAATAAAGACATGCAATAGTCAGATTTAGCTCTTACATAATGTATCTTTAACAAATATTTGTTACACTTTTGTATTAGTTATATCTGAGATTATATTTGAAGTCAAGTCCAAATTGAAATGCTTTACAGATAATCATCAAATCTCAAATAGTTTAATTCTACACTAAAATTTCTAAAATGAATGATGAGGTGAAAAAATGAATAATTTAAAAATCACATAAGTCAAGATTTTATATAAAAAAAAATAAAAGCAATATGCACTATAGCCAAAGGCTTATAAACAATTTTTTGAGAAAAAAAACAACATTAAAACAGATTACCATCAGCTCCAATACTACTTTATTTAGCATTATCCACATAAATCTGATCTTTAATCACAAAAGCCCTACAGACAGTATTAGCTACAAAACAATAAGATTTATTTATAAACTTCACACCAGCTATTTCAAATAACATAAAAATAGCAATAAAAAGGGAGAAGGTAGAGTGAAAAGTTTGATAAGAGTTGTAAGATCAACAGTATAGAATTCAACTATTATTGTTACAATTTGTATGTCTTATTCACACCTTTCTTATGTTAACTTCTTACAGAAAACTTTAAAAAAACTAAACTTTAAAACTTATACTGTGGTACAATATTTCTCTTACAGTTTCTGGATTGAAAACAGATAAGGATCTTGTATAACTTTATATATTAAATATTAATTTAATTTGTGTATTAGGCTTTAAGTATTTAATTTAATTTGTGTATTGTGTATTCAATTTAATTTGTGCATAAGGTACTTGTATATTCTCTTTAATTTGTGTATTAGGAACTGTTATTGTATATACTATTCAATTGTGTATTATATAATATTGTGTATGTAATTTCATATGTATAGATTCTACACTTTTATTTGTAAATTAGATACCAATTAGATATTATCATTTGTACATCTAATCTAAGTTGTCGAATAGATATTGCCTTATAGAAAATTAATTTGTATTGCCATGTTATTCAATTTAACATATATTATTATGTGTTATTTGTGTTTATAGTTAATAAGTATATCTACTTATTTTATTTTATATTAGAAAGGGTTGTACCATACAAAATAATGTTTTATATTCTGTCATAACACAAATTCTATATGCATATATGGTAATTTTTAGAGCTCTGTTATATACCATATATAATAACAAACACAAAATACTGAATAATATAACTAGATCTAACCTTCACCTCTGTAATCTAGCTGTCTACTAAGCTTTAATAATATAAACAGAGAATTGGAACAAGGTTGATCAAAGCTAATCAGTGATAACAAATCTTGTTTCTGGATAAATCTTTATTATGTTTTTCCAGATTGTATATATATATATAAAAGCTAACACATAATTATCTAGGGGATATTAGGATACAAACTTTTATTATACATATGTCAATCTATTATTATCATGAACAGTAAATCTACTCAGTATAGCCCTTTCTTGATGATCAGACTGACACCAGAGTGGCAGACTATTATCAAGGGCATTACAGAAAGATGTAGCAGAAAATGAAATAATCTTATCACCAAATCCAACTTATATCTACTTTATGTAGCGTTTTGTTTTTGTTCAAAATTCTAAGGTCCATATCAAGATTAATTCTAGAACAAAAATCCCCTGATATCACAAAATATCACACAAACAGATAACACCACTTGGTACATCTTCCACTATTAGTATTAAAACTGTGACTTTTAAGGCTTTCAGAAACCAAATTTTCTTGACACCTATAGACATTTAGATAAACTATGAAATGATATATTTCTAAAAGAATGGTCAAATTCATAGATCATTTTAAAGTAGCTAAGTCTCTAACTCAGAATTATTCAAAGTCTTCGACATTGAAAACACGAATTATTTTTCAATTCAAATCAACATTGTTCTTGTGATCTTACAGGGAAAAGATGGGCTTCTGATATCCAATATTCAAGACAAAATAAACATTTTACCATTGGTACACAAATCGTGTACCATAATGCGTTTCAGCGCCATTTGGAACAAGGGACTCAAAGAACGTGACTAGACATATTCCACAAGTCATGTCAAATGGTGACGCTATATTATTATCTGGAAAGTATGCGCAATAAATATCATCAGTGTAGACTGGAATAACCAGACGCTAAAGACTGCCATTCAATTATGACCTCTGGCATATTTCACTGAACATAACTGATAAGAAATTACAGTCAAAACAGAAACGGTTGAATGTAAATCAGTTTATATACATTCACATAACAATATTATATGCGTTGTGACCCATTTGTGTCAATTTCTAGCTTCCAGTAATTAGCGATTTAGCTCCTTTAACCATAAATGATATTTTTCTTTACATGTGATTTAAAGTCACCAACTTTATGT